AAGGACCCTCATATTGCCTGCCAGTACCCTCATATTGCCTGCAAGGACCCTCATATTGCCTGCAAGGACCCTCATATTGCCTGCATATTGCCTGCCAGTACATATTGCCTGCCAGGACCCCTCTATATATTGCCTGCAAGGACCCTCATATTGGCCAGGTACCCTCATATTGCCTGGACCCTCATAGGCCTGCACCCTCATATTGCTCATATTGCCTGCAAGGACCCTCATATTGCCTGCAAGGACCCTCATATTGCCTGCCAGGACCCTCATTGCATTGCCTGCAAGGACCCTCATATTGCCTGCCAGATTGCCTGCAAGGACCCTCATATTACCTGCCAGGGCCCTCATATTGCCTGCAAGGACCCTCATATTGCCTGCAAGAACCCTCATATTACCTGCCAGGGCCCTCATATTGCCTGCAAGGACCCTGATATTGCCTACAAGGAACCTCATATTGCCTGCCAGTACCCTCATATTGCCTGCCAGGACCCTCATATTGCCTGCAAGGACCCTCATATTGCCTGCAAGGACCCTCATATTGCCTGCAAGGACCCTCATATTGCCTGCCAGTACCCTCATATTGCCTGCCTGCCAGGGCCCTCATATTGCCTGCAAGGACCCTCATATTGCCTGCAAGGACCCTCATATTGCCTGCAAGGACTCTCATATTGCCTGCCAGGTACCCTCATATTGCCTGCAAGGACCCTCATATTGCCTGCAAGGACCCTCATATTGCCTCATATTGCCTGCAAGGACCCTCATGTTGCCTGCAAGGACCCTCATATTGCCTGCAAGGGACCCTCATATTGCCTGCAAGGACCCTCATATTGCCTGCAAGGACCCTCATATTGCCTGCCAGGACCTGCCTCATATTGCCTGCCAGGACCCTCATATTGCCTGCAAGGGACCCTCATATTGCCTGCAAGGACTCTCATATTGCCTGCCATATGCCCTCATATGCAAGGACTGCCAGCCCCTGCAAGGACTCTCATATTGCCTGCCAGTACCCTCATATTGCCTGCAAGGACCCTCATATTGCCTGCAAGGACCCTCATATTGCCTGCAAGGACCCTCATATTGCCTGCAAGGACCCTCATATTGCCTGCAAGGACCCTCATATTGCCTGCAAGGACTCTCATATTGCCTGCCAGTACCCTCATATTGCCTGCAAGGACCCTCATATTGCCTGCAAGGTCCCTCAGATTGCCTGCAAGGACCCTCATATTGCCTGCCAGGGCCCTCATATTGCCTGCAAGGACCCTCATATTGCCTGCAAGGACCCTAATATTGCCTGCAAGGACCCTCATATTGCCTACAAGGACCCTCATATTGCCTACAAGGACCCTCATATTGCCTGCAAGGACCCTCATATTGCCTGCAAGGACCCTCATATTGCCTGCAAAGACCCTTAAAAGAAAGGTCCCTGGGACCCCAAGTTATTGAGTCAAGGTACAGCTCTGTATTACTGGCAACAACGGGTTATTTTCTCCAAAATACAAGACGGTAAGCTGGGGTCAGCTTTGTAAATCATGCATTTCGGCTCATAAAGGAGTCACCCTGACTGGCAATGTCGTCATATATAGCCAAGCCAGAAACACAGGCATGTCCACTGAACAGTAAACCGGGAAGCCGGTACAGTTACAATGGATACACAATGTCATTTAGAAAGTGGTCAAATGAAATACATCTTATATTTGGGATTACACTTTCTCAATAAAGTACAAATTCTAGTACTTTTGTTGGGTTGAGTCCCATCCGGGATTCGAAACTACAGCCTTTAAGTCAGGCACTTAATCGTGGTCCGCGGCCTGAACTACCAGGCATCCTACTTCCATTTGTGGAAACGGCGTTGGCTGAGTGGGTTAGACGGCTGACTGTGCTGGCGATTAGGTTCCTGACTGAGGGTGTGGTTTCGAATGCCGTGTGGAATTCAACCCAACAAAAGCACTAGTTATAGAATCTGTACCCTACAGTAGCATACTTACAGAGTAAGTGTCTGCAACACAAACCGAACTGTCCTAGCAACCGACGCAGTCCAATCTTTATCTGAATGAACACTTAGTTACGAAAGAAATAATTACATCACCATGACATGTCAAGAATCATTCAACTGCTATTATGATTCGTTCATACGATGAGCATCGATGAGGACAACTGGTATGTGATGACTCGCATCACAAATGTCAGTGATCATGACCACCCGATCCCGATCCCTAAGAAAGGTTGTTCAAAAGCAATTTTGTAAAGCAAATCACCAGTAAACATGTTTGCTTGTTTTCTTTTATAACGATGCACTCTGCAATGTTCCAGCTATATGACGACGCTCAGTAAATAATCGAGTCTGAACCAGACAATCCAGTGATCAACATCATGAGCATCGATCTAGGCAGCTGCGAAACGATGGCATGTGTCAACCAAGTCAGCTACATCATCTATATGTATGTACCACAGTTTGGTACATATGACATTGTAATCTTGGGAACCAATAAAATAAAAAATAAAAAAAAGAAGTCAGCGAGCATGACGACTCGATCCCGTTATTCGCCTCATACAAGCATGGGTTGCTGAAGACGGATCTTCCGGCTTGTAAGGACCACAACATTGCAAACAGAATCAACACGTCAATAGCTTGAAAACAATAGCCGAAACATCTCAGGTACAAATCTTACCTTAAGAAATAAATACTAAGGGAGAGACTTAGGGTAATACCCGCTTTTGTAAAAACACATGTCTGCTTAACGCGGGAGGAAAGGGCGGACCAATGAAATACCGAGGTGATTACCACATGGAGTAAACCTGCTATTACGTGCAGGATGCAGACAAGCCAAAACTCCTATGTACTGAGGGTAAACCAGGGATTCGAACCCAGGATCACAGTACTTTGACATGCTTAGAGCAGAAAATGGGTACCCGGTGGGATTAGTCGTGTGACTATAACCTTCTAGCGACTAACAGGCAATTTGGGTTATCCGGGGTAATAATGTCCTGTGCTATTCATTGTTAGCGCTATGAGCATACCTGATGTGGAGTTAGTCGTTATTACTAGTATTAGAGGTAGTTTAAAAGTAACAGGTCGTACAAGAAATCCTTACATCTGAAATGTTCGTGACAAAACCATGTAGTCATATTCTAATGTTTCACAGGTCCGCCCATTCTCTTCCCACAGAGGTTACTCAATTCAAATACGGTAACCTCTGTGGGAAGAGAATGAGGTCCGCCAACAAAAATGTATATTTGAAGTTTGATATGTACCGGAAAGAGAAAGGTTTTGGTTGGGTGAAAAATGTAGTTTTTCTGAACTAGTTGTCTTCGTGAACAAGCTAGCTCACTATATGCCACCTACCAATCCTTCCTTTTGGGCCACCCGTGAAGGTCCGGGTTAGAACTGAGCCTTCAGTAACCCATGATTGTCGTAAGAGGCGACTAACGAGATCGGGGGTCAGGCTCGCTGACTTGGTTGACACGATCATGTCATTGGTTCCCAATTGCACAGATCGATGCTCATGATGTTTATCACTGGATTGTCTGGTCCAGACTCGATTATTTACAGACCGCCGCCATAGAGCTGGAATATTGCTGAGTGCGGCGTAAAACTAAACACACTCCTTTTGGGCCGCCAACTGGGGCGTAGCTACCATTATTAAAAAAGGCCCGGGCTTACACACGATTTTGGCTAAAGAGTTTGGGCAAGTCCTCAACACTATCTAAATATGAAGCTTTGCATCCTATCGGGTTTACACGAAAAAATGGCCTGCTACGCGCCTGGCCGAGTAGTCAGATTGGTGGCAAAAGCTGAATAGACTGCGGTCAGCCACGAAGCACATTGTACAATTCAATTCAATTCAATTGTTTATTCCATTAAGGCCATCGGCCCATGTACACAACTATGATTTATAGTAAACAGAGATGTTAGCATTTGCAAGACAGTGTTTTGGTAGATGTAAATGTCTTAAAGTGTCATAAGCTGGGTAAATTAGACAGAAATGGTATTCGTCTTCAACGCTATGGTAATCACAGACTTGGCATATTCTTTCTTCATACTGGGACCGCCTCCCTGGTGTAGTGGTTAGAGCGTCCGCCCGGAGAGCGGAAGGTCGCAGGTTCGATCCCCGACCCCGTCATACCAAAAGACGTTAAAATATGATACTTGTTGGTCCCTGTCTGGCGCTCGGCATTAATGGGTACAACAAGGACTGGTCGGCTCGGAGTCAGTATAATGTGTCTGAGTGGGGTATTCATGCTTCACTGCGGCATGGTATCTCAGTGGGCTAGCACTATAAAACCAGCTTTAGTCTGGGCTAGTACAAGCAGCCGCACATACACAATACACACGCTTGCACGTCGTGATATGAGCGAAATATTCTCAAGCACGACGTTAAACCCAATTTCACCACACCTTCTTCATACAGTAATCCTTCCCAGCGTCCGGTATTCCACTGTGGAGTGAAAACAAAACCTTTTACTCACGCTTTAACTACATCTGAAGGGACAATCAATACGATTTGTGTATTTGATGTTTAACGCCGCCCTCGGCAATATTCCAGCGATACATCGGAGGTCTGGAAATAATGGAGTTCGGGCTAGACACCATGAGCATCGATCTACGCATTTGGGACGTGATGACATGTGTCAACCAAGTCAGCGAACCGCTCAAGCCAGACCCGATTATTTACAGACCGCCGCCATATAGCTAATGACCGAATGCGGCGTTAAACAAACAAACAAACAAACAAACAACCAGAAATGGGCTCCGCACCTTGAACCCTCGTGGGGAACTGAACCCGGATCTTCGGCGTGGCTACCCCATTGTCCCATATTTCAAAGGAATTACCAATTACGTACTATATATGTAACGCAGACACGAATACGTACTGCAGCACAGGGGCGTGTCACGCTTAGAAACAGCGTTAGAAAGACATATAGGTATATAGACCCTACCCTAGTACTATAGTACCTATGTCTTTCTAACGCTGTTTCTAAGCGTGACACGCCCCTGTGTACTGCAGTACAGATCTATGACCAAACACGGGAGAAGTAGTTTTAAATAATATACATAATTTTCGTTAATACTTCATAAGCACACTATACCGTTTGCTGTAATGAACAAAGACACGCCATGTTAGTTTTAAATCAGCATCGGTCTTTGATCTGTACAATCGGATGACACTGAAACCGGCGATCGGTAAAACTTGACATGGTATGAGCGCTCACCTGAGGGTCACGTGACTATCCACAACCCGACCACAAAGATGGCGGCCGGTAGAGTTGCTCTAGTTACAGGGGCAAATGCGTAAGTTTTTTCCCACTGTAACAACTGTTCTTGATTTTCAGCTGACGCGTGTAGTTATAATAGTGAGATCTGATTGTTTTGAAAGCACATTTCGATGGTAAAAATTGTTCAGAGTCGCAGTGAGAATGAGAGAGCCGTTGCGTACTGACACTCGAAGCGTCAGTACAATCAGGCAATCAATGATTCAATCATAACTAAACGATCAGCGTCATACGAGTCGTTGATTCTTATATCTTATTAACAATACATGACAAGGTAGTGCTGAATCCGGTACTGTTTACATTTCTTGGAGTTGTCAGTCGTCTGCACACTTTTTCAAACAACGTTCTTGCCGTTAGTACCCAGATATGTAAGTCACCATTAGCAGGCAGATGGTTAAACTAACAACTAGTCTCTGAAATGAACATATTTTACTGAAAAAAGTTCATAGTAAAAGAAAATATAATATAATGAAAAGGAGCCCTGAGACTTTCTTCATTTTCAGCCTGAAGCTGAGGAAATCTAGACTTGCCACATTTTCTAGACTTGCGTGGGCTTTCTTGGATATATTTGCTTCAGGGTCTGTATGACAGACTAGCAGATGGTAGGATGCTTATGCTCTTGATCACTAGATGCTCATGATGTTGATCACTGGGTTGTCTGGTTCAGACTCAGTTACTCACAGACCACTGCCATATAGCTGCATAGGCGGATCCAGGAGGGCAGGGGTGCGCGCACACCCCACCACTCACCCCCACCTTTGTCCAGAAAGTTTATTTAATGACCATTGAAACTGGTGAAAATGAAGTGTGCACCTCCTTTTCTCAATAGTATTATGCATCCCCCCCCTCACCCCCTCACCTTTGTTCACAGAAAGTTTATTTAATGACCATTGAAACTGGTGAAAATGAAGTGTGCACCCTCCCTTTTCTCAATAGTATGCATCCCCTTTTTCTCAGAAAGCTGTATCCGCCCTGTAGCTGGAATATTGCTGAGCGTGGTGTTAAACAACGAACTGATAATTTTGTGCCCTAATGATGTCAGTTGGACTGCACCAGAGACAATATATATATAATAGATGGTCTCTGACTGCACATATAACTCTTCCCTTTTCCTAACAGGGGTCTTGGTCTAACTCTGTGTGAACGCCTCCTGTCGGAACACAAAGGTTTGAAACTGTGCCTCGCATGTCGGAACAAGCTGAGAGCAGAAGTAGCGCAAGAAGCTCTGAAACTGTCCCACCCTGATGCAGACATCGCCATCATTATTGTGGACACATCAAGCCTGAAGTCAGTCTACAGGGCAGCCAAGGAGATAAAACACAGGTAAGTGTTACACCTGAACTGTCACGGGGTGCTGATCTAGCACTTATTGTCCATCAGATCATGTGACCCATCAAATGTGCTTATATAGCAGTGTATTTATTGTCCATCATCAGATCATGTGACCCATCAAATGTGCTTATATAGCAGTGTATTTATTGTCCATCATCAGATCATGTGACCCATCAAATGTGCTTATACAGCAGTGTATTAATTGTCCATCACCAGATCATCTGAATTATCAGGTGTGCTTATTTAGTGGTGCATTGTCCCGTAGATCACGTGAACTGTCAAGCATGTTTATCGAGTGGTGTATGGTCCACCATTACAGGTACAGCCGCCTCGATCTCCTCTTCCTCAATGCAGGCATCATGCCAGTCACTGGCTTCAACTGGTCCCACTTCATCAAGGGCGTCTTCTCCAGGTAAGACACTCTGCCAGAGAGTAGCATTATAATAGCATGATACACCCAAAGTAAATCATTCTTTTGGTCTCACAGGAATGACAGTACAGGTGAGATATGTAAATTGAGTCAAAACACCTAACCAAGTGCATGATTTATCAACTTTTCGTCATAGAGGTTTGATATTTTTAAAGTAAAGTAGTAAGAAGTAAGTGATTATATAAGCGGAAAATGATGACTAATCAAAAATAAATGTTTTTATTCATTTATTCATTCACAGCTGTTCAGAAATATCTTTGTACATTTTCACCATAATGCAGCTGTTATAATTTACAATAAATATCCTGACACATCATCAAAATACGTCGCATAACACCACTACAGGGACAGAAACTGGATGGAATCAATCAATGTATAGAGGATATTATATTCGTGCCCATGTCATACTATGTTTACGACACGAGTGCCTAAATTTTGGTATTTCCCATGCGAGCGCGAAGGATATACTAATATTTAGGCACGAGTGTCGTAAACATAGTATGACATGGTCACGAATATAATATTCTGTTTATTACAGAAGTCGTCAAATTGAGGAAAATAAACCCAAATCTACTTTCAAACAGTTGCCACATGTAGAACGCTACGTCATAGCATTGTTCATGACGTCTCTTCACCATGACAAAGTGATATTTTGCCCTGGGGCATCGTATGAAAAATATTAACCCCGATATGTTCGCCCTCGTAGGTAATAAAACATGTTTTGTTTGGGGTTACACTTTCCTTGGTCCACAAGACATTTGCAGTATTAAAATATTATTTCCCCTTTTCTCCCCAACAGTCTGTCCACATGGTGACTGTGTGCATATAGTGTGACAGTAAAGGGGAAATTCTGTCACACAATGTACATACTCCCCCATTTCTCTCCTGAGAGTGACTCGGTACATTGTGTTGAAGTAATTCTCCATTTTCTCCCGACAGTGTGTGCCAATTGTGTGACATTATTTCCCCATTTTTCCCAACAGTGTGACATTATTTTCCCATTTCTCAGAAACAGTGTGTGCCAATTGTGTGACATATTTTCCCATTTTTTGCAACAGTGTGTGCCAAATGTGTGACATTATTTCCCCATTTTTCCCAACAGTGTGACATTATTTTCCCATTTCTCAGAAACAGTGTGTGCCAATTGTGTGACATATTTCCCCATTTTTTGCAACAGTGTGTGCCAATTGTGACATTATTTCCCCATTTTTTGCAACAGTGTCTACTGATTGTGTGACATTATTTCCCCACTTCTCCCGACAGTGTGTGCCAAATGTGTGACATTATTTCCCCATTTTTCCCAACAGTGTCTACTGATTGTGTGACATTTCCCCATTTCTCCCGACAGTGTGTGCCAATTGTGTGACATTATTTCCCCATTTCTCCCGACAGTGTGTGCCAATTGTGTCACATTATTTCCCCATTTTTCCCAACAGTGTGTGCTGATTGTGTGACATTATTTCCCGACAGTGTGTGCTGATTGTGTGACATTTCCCCATTTCTCCCGACAGTGTGTGCCAATTGTGTCACATTATTTCCCCATTTTTCCCAACAGTGTGTGCTGATTGTGTGACATTATTTCCCGACAGTGTGTACTGATTGTGTCACATTATTTCCCCATTTCTCCCGACAGTGTGTACTGATTGTCACATTATTTCCCCATTTCTCCCGACAGTGTGTACTGATTGTGTCACATTATTTCCCCATTTTTCCCAACAGTGTGTGCTGATTGTGTGACATTATTTCCCGACAGTGTGTACTGATTGTGTGACATTATTTCCCCATTTCTCCTGACAGTGTATGCTGATTATGCAGGGCTCGATTTAAGAGATGTTAACCTACTTGCACCAGGTGCAACCTGAGATAAAACGCTAGTTGCACCAACCAAATTCCAGTTGCACTGTTTTTTGGCGATATGTCAAGAAAGAAATTATCTATGGAATTATTCAAAAGTTACAACAAAATGAGCTGACATAATTATGCTTATGTTAGATTTATTGTTGATTTATTTCTCAAACATTAACTTGCACCTGGTGCAAGTTAGACTAATAACTAGGTTGCACTTGGTAATCTTGGGTTGCACCGGTGTAAGTAACAAAGCACTAAATGAGCCCAGTTATGTGACATTATTTCCCCATTTCTCCCAACAGTGTGTGCTGATTATGTGACATTATTTCCCCATTTCTCCCGACAGTGACTGTGTGCACATGCTGACTACCGCACAGGGTTTGCTGAAGCAGGCTGACTTCACCACGGAGGAGGGATACCGCAACATCTTCACAACTAACCTGTTCGGACATTTTGTACTGGTAGACAACTGATGATCTTTATCATGCAAAAATGTCTAGAGATATCGCAGTGCAGAGTCTATTGCCATGCCATGACAACAGGCAACTTGTACTTTATTTTGTGTTGACCCCCTCCATGGCGACTAGAGGATAGAATGTCATTGAAGACATTAAACTTTGTTCCTTATTGTACTAGTGGTGATCCGATTAATTGAAATAATCGAACATTTGTCACAGTGACTAAACGACCAAGTAATCAACATGTTTTCTCATAATTGAACACAAACAATTCTGGAACACTTGTTTTCATTAACAATATTTTTCACAAGGTTGGTTTTGTCTGTTACCTTTCATAAGCACTACAAGCTCGTTTCAAGTCATGATTGAATTTATCTTAAAGACTCCAAGAAATTGATGTTCCTAACATACTAGTCATCCTTCAAAGATGTGAAATTTTGCCAAAAACCCCAAAGAACTACAGGGGTACATGTTTTTTTCCTTATTTTTATGTGCATTAACAAATTTCATTAATGATGCTAGCCAATTTTTTTCTATGATTGATCGGTTGTAATGAACCAATCATCAATTATGAGATTTTAACCAACTCCCAACACTATATTGTACCTGAATAGCGCTCAAATTGAGGCGAAGACACAAATACTAGTCAGCTTGAAGTTCATATACAGGTACGATGTTTGATTGGGGTTTTCCTTGTTAGGTTGCTTGGTTGTTGTCTAACACCACACACAGCAGTATTCCAACTATATGGCAGCGGTCTGTAAATCATCGAGTCTCGACCAGACAATCCAGTGATCAACAACATGAGCATCGATCTATGCTATTAGTATACAATGACATGTGTCAACCTGGTCAGCAAGCCTGACCACCCGATTCCGTTAGTCACGCTCTTACAACAAGCATGGGTTACTGAAGACCAATTCTGACTGGATCTTTATGGGTTTCCTTTAGTGGTGTTCCAATAAAATGAAATAATCGAAGATTGGTCACAGTGACCAAACAACCAAATGATCGGTGACGTTTTCTCATAATCGAACAAACAATTTTGGAACTACTGTTTTAGTGTTTGAAACACTTGACGATGGAACATATCTTAGAAGTTGTCAGGGCCTGAAAACATGTTTAATTCTTAGAAAACTCACTTCACTCTGAAAAATCATGACTGAATATTCTTGATGTTCCAGGAAGTTTATGTTCATGATATATTAGTCATCGCTTTAAAGTAGCAAGTTGCATCATTTTACATTGGATGTGAAATTTGCAAATGTAATTTGCGCATTTTCTAAATAAAACAAAAACAACAGAGAACCACATTATACTTATCTGCAATAACAACCTGAACAGGAAAATATAAAATTGAACCAATTTTTTATGTTGATTGCTTGTTGGTAATGAACCAATTATCAATTGTGAGATTTCAACCAATTCCCAACACTTGTTTCCTTGTTAAGGTGTAGTGTAGTATCTCAGGGTGCTATCCCTAAAATACTGAGATAAACCTGGACAAAAACAAATGCCACACTCACATCATTGTATAAGTTCAATAATCGTAACGTTAGAATTGTGTTAATGGTTTGATTCCCTATTTCCAGATTAGGCAGCTTGAAGACATCATAGGTTGTACCGACAAGCCAGGTCACATGACACAGGTTGTCTGGACATCGTCCAGCGCTGCCTTGAAGGACAATTTTGACATTAAAGATATACAGCACAAGAACGGGTAAACAGATTTTCTATGGATGTTATATTGTCAATAAAGATGAGGTTATACAGATTCATCTGGCCCTAAAATGTTGTAAATTAGAGTAACAGGAGTAGTATGTAACGCATCACCATCTGCAACCTTGTGTATTCGTCATGTTCAACACACAATAATTTGACATCTGGGCCTAGATTTTCGAAGCTCTCTTAGCCCTAAGATAGTCGTAAGTGCCATACATTAACATTAACTTACGACTATCTTAGCGCTAAGAGAGCTTCGAAAATCTAGGCCCAGTATGTTAAACTGCAAGACAAGAAGATAAGCTCAACTGATGCTGCTAGCATGGCAACAAATTCAGATAATTTTGTGAAGAGCAGCAGAATTCTGAAATATTTTCTCCCCGCCTGCTGAACGAGGTCCCTTTCAAGGAAGATATACCTAAAATACAAATGTGATGAATTATCTTGTTCTTAACAGTAGATCGAAAAAAAAGGATTTATTTTGGGAATTGTTTTTAATCATGAAGACACTTGACAAAATGGAACATGGCACATATGTCACTTTTTCTGTTAGAATAAATGGAAATTATCTTACTGTGGTAATTTGTTCCTGGGTCAGTACCTTGAACACAATAGTCAATCCCACGTCACGTCAAAAGTTGGGGGGGGGCAGTGGGCAGCTTAGTGGTTAAAGCATTCTCTTGTCACTCTGAAGACCCAGGTTCGATTCTCCATGTGGTTACAATGTGTGAAGGCAATTTCTGGGGTCCCCCATCGTGACAGAGTGGAATATTGTTAAAAGCAGAGTAAAATTGTCCTTGATGATTTGCTTGATGAGGTTGTCAAGGATGAGGTTGTCAAGGATGAGGTTGTCAAGGACGAGGTTGTCAAGGACGAGGTTGTCAAGGATGAGGTTGTCAAGGATGAGGTTGTCACTGATGTCCTATTTGCCTGACTTGTGTTCCAGATGTGACCCCTACAGTTCATCTAAATATGCCACAGACATGATCAGTGTGGTGCTCAATGACAAACTCAACCACAAGGTGAGTTATCTCCCTTTATAGATTCTTTTATTCCAATCTGTGTCTAACATAGAACTTCCCTTTCTAAGGTTATCCTGAAACGACAATGGTGTGATGCCATCATAATACTTAGGTTTAAAGGAATGTGTGTCTGATGTGATAATTCTTATATTTATATTTATGCTTACCTATAGTCTGTTTGCAGTGAGAACGTACCGATGAATTTCACTTTAAACAAAAAACTAAACCAAATAAAGTGAAATTAAGATTGCGAGTCTTCATAATTTTACATTGCCAATTGGAAATTTAAGTCTCAGGATTTTATTTAACTTATGATAAAAGTTGTTTAACAAACGATCATAAATTCATATCGTTAGTATTGGTTTGTATTACAAGGGGGTAAGCGCAGTAGTTGGAACAGTGAAACAAATGCACTTGCGGTACGTGATGAGCGTTAACTTAGACCAACCCCACTTGTTCTCGGTGTTTCATTTAATGTGCATTCCCCCATGTAATACAAACAAATAAAGCGATTTGAAACTATGATCGTTTGTTAAACAACTTTTATCCTAAGTTGAATAAAATTCTGAGATTTAAATGTTCAATTGGCAATGTAAAATTATGAGGATTCGCAATCTTAATTTCACTTTATTCGATTTACATTTTTGTTTAAAGTGAAATTCAGCTGTACAGTTTCTCCGCAAACAGACTATAGACAAGAACCAGAGCTCCTGACTTATGCATAGCTAAATCAGGAGGACTGTGCAAAAGTCCATAGCACATCCAGCGACAAGATGCAGTTACTGGCAGCAACTTATGCAAGGCTGTGTGTTTAGGACAACCAGGTACTGCTGGCATCATACAGTTCATGACCCATGAAGATCTGGGTTAGAATTGATCTTCAGTAACCCATGCTTGTCGTAAGGGGCAACTAGCGGGATCAGGTGGTCAGGCTCGCTGACTGGGTTGACACATGTCATCGTATCCCAATTGCACGGATCGATGTTCATGCTGTTGATCCCTGGATTGTCTGGTCCAGACTCGATTATTTACAGATCGCTGCCATATAGCTGGAATATTACTGAGTGTGGCGTAAAACTAAACTCACTCACTCACTCACTCATAGTCATACAGTTCATTGAGTTAAAGATAAAGTGTTGATTTTGAATTATTTCAGTCAGTCAGAAGTCAAGCAGTCTGCACTTTAAGCCACTATAGTCCGTTTGGCTCAAAATCGGACCGATGAATTGCAATCTAACTCGAAAACTAATAAACATAAAATACTCAATGAAACGCTGATCATAATCAAAACATCATACCCACTCTGTGAGGTTTTTGCAGAATTTTGTCCTAAAATTAAAAAAGTTGTTTAACAATCTATCATTAAAATATTGACACAGTTCACTATTTGTTACGAGGGAGAAGTGCAGAGAAAGGACAGCCAGGTGTTCGAGAGGGATGGAGACAGCACAGCACAGGTGAATGAATAAATAACTTTGTCTGTGAACGCGCTTCAACACCTGGCTGTCCCTTTCTCTGCACTCCTCCCTCGTGACAAATAGTGAACTGTGTCAATATTTTAATGATAGATTGTTAAACAACTTTTTTATTTTTAGGACAAAAATTCGACAAAAACCTCACAGAGTGGGTATGATGTTTTGATTATGATCAGCGTTTCATTGAGTATGTTATGTTTATTAGTTTTCGAGTTAGATTGCAATTCATCGGTCCGATTTTGAGCCAAACGGACTGTAGTCTGAAACTGATTCCAGTAACCTTGTGTTTGGTCCAGAGTGTTAACATTATATGTCTAAATGAATCGAAGAGACTAACTTTGGATAGTTGATGGCACCAGTTGTTCAATTATCCCCATACTTTGATAATGGTTTTGCTAGTCGCATCTCTGCATTTTATTTTCAGTTCGTGTTTCTAAGCAGGCACTTTGTATTTGTTGCAGGGCATCTACTCCCACAGCGTGTGCCCTGGGCTGGTCATGACGAACCTCACCAATGGCATCATGCCGCCCTGGTTCTGGACCATAATGTGGCCTATTATAATGCTGGTAGGTGGAAGGACTCCAATCAGATTAACACAGCTTGGAATAGACCTTAAACACTTTGTTGAAACTCTATACTGACTGACTGACTGAGTTTGGTTTTACGCCGCTTTTAGCAAAATTCCAGCAACATCACGGCGGGGGACACCAGAAATGGGCTTCACACATTGTACCCATGTGGGGAATCGAACCCGGGTCTTCAGCGTGATGAGCGAACGCTTTAACCACTAGGCTACCCCACCGCCCCTGAAACTCTATAACATGTATGTAGTACTAATACTAGTATATATGTTACCCCGAAGTTTCTGTGTCTTAACCTGAGGCACCTGTTGCCCTGATGTTTCCAGATTTTCAAAGCTCTCTTAGCGCTAAGATAGTTAATGTTAATGTATGGCACTTACGACTATCTTAGCGTTAAGAGAGCTTCTAAAATCTAGGCCCTGGAGCACATGTTCTCCTGAAGTTACTCTATCTTATACCTACAGAGCACCTATTGTTTAAAGGTCCTTCCCTTCCATATAGTCACATGCTACAGTTCATTAGAATGATGACTTGGGGGTTGCTGATAGGTTTATCATTTTTGTAACCTAAAAATATATACAGTGTCAACTGTTGGATGACTTAAGATGAATTCATTAAACAGTATATAACCAATGAACTGTGTTATTCCCACTGTACGTTATATCACAGGTCCGGTTGTTCGTACCCAGCACAAACTATGACACGTACAATGGCTGCGAGGCTCAGGTAATCCTCCACACTTTCCTACCATCTTCTTTACTACAGGGAATTATATTGCCAGCCTACTGTGATAAGTACCCTCAACACATGCCACCATAGCTTTTGACGTCACCAGCTCTTTTCACAAGCTTATCATAGAAATTCTCTTACTTAATGACATCGACAACCAGTGAACCGTCCTTATCTGAATACACTTTATAGATCTACATTTACTGTCTCACAGTCCCAGAACGCATTATTTTCCTTCAGTTTATCCCTTTGTTTATCGTTTTTCTGCAGTGCTAAAGCACAGAAATGCAAGGTCCTAAGCAAGTCTAGATTTTGCCAACATTGCCAATGTTGGGCCAACGTCCTGAGGCTATCTGGGTTCCAGTCACTGAGGCCCCTTAAGCTGGAAGATTGCTGTGTAGGGCTTCAAACAAGAAACAAACAAATCTCACCTGAAATCGCTGCAATAGTGTACTGCTGGTGCATCAAACAAAAGACTTGATATACACATAATGATTATGAACCTTGGTTATAGATGTGGCTCTCCATCAACAACCTACAACCCTGAATAGTCATGTCAAGTTCTGTAGCGAGACCTCAGTGTTTGGACAAAGATCTGTCAAACAGAAGAAGGTATGTACAATATCCATGTATTGAAGGTTGGCAGATTTTTAGTTTAAGATTCATTATTAATGTATATCTTGATTTAGACTTTAAGTACTCTCACTCACGCTCAGCAAATGTTTTTATGTTTTTCTTGCAATGTTGGTGGTAAAAAGCTTATCTTAATGCTTGCTTACTTTATGAAGAATTTGTATGTGTTGACACCTTAGAAAGTTCACTTGATGCAACCTTCTGTTATGTGATTGTCAGATCTTCACGTGGAGAGTGAGTGAGTATGGTTTTACGCCACTTTTAGCAATATTCCAGCAATATCACGGTAGGGACACCAGAAATGGGCTTCACACATTGTACCCATGTGGGGAATCAAACCCAGGTCTTTGGCATGACGGTCGAACGCTTTAACCTTTAGGCTACCCCACCGCCCCTCACATGGATAGCTTGTCAGATGTTCACACAGAGAGGTTGTCAGAATTTCATGTGGAGAGATTGTTTCATCTTCACAATGAGAGATTGTTGTTTCTTCACAAAGAGGGGTTGTCAGATCTTTATGCAGAGAAGTTGTCAGATCTCCATGTTGATAGGTTACTATGATATTGGAACAACTGATTTTAGTGGAAAATGGAAAATTGTTCACAGGTGTTATAGAGAGTGTTTGGTACAAACAAGATCGAATGTTCATATTGTCATCGAGTAAAATTATAATGTATTCTTTGTTGTGTTGTCAGTTGACCATTGACTCGGAGGAGGCCGAGTCTCTCTACACACAGCTGGAGTCTCTGGAGAGGGAGTTCCAACAACAACACAACACATCTTGACAATAGCACAACACATCTCCCCAGTACCACTGGAGAGCTGGTCAAAATTATGACACATCTGAAACAAATCTTGACAAAAGCTCAATATGTCAACAAAGGTATAACACATTTGGACAATAGTACAACACATCTTGACAGGATGATATATCTGGACAACAGCATGACACATCTGGACAGGAGCACAAAACATCTTAACAATAGCACAACACATCTTGACAATAGCACAACACTTCTTGACAGTGCCGTTGGAGAGCTTGTCAAAATTATGATGCATCTGTAAAACATCTTAACAATAGCACAACACATCTAGACAATGGCACGACACATGGACAGTATATAGAACAACGCATCTAGTGCAACACATGGACAATAGCACAACACGTCTAGACAATAGCACAACACGTCTAGACAATAGCACAACACATATGGACAATAGCACAACACATATGGACAATAGCACAACACATATGGACAATAGCACAACACATGGACAATAGCACAACACATCTAGACAATAGCACAACACATGGACAATAGCACAACACATGGACAATATATAGCACAACACGTCTAGACAATAGCATAACACATATGGACAATAGCACAACACATGGACAATAGCACAACACATGGACAATATATAGCACAACACGTCTAGACAATAGCACAACACATGGACAATAGCACAACACGTCTAGACAATAGCACAACACATGGACAATAGCACAACACATGGACAATATATAGCACAACACGTCTAGACAATAGCACAACACATATGGACTATAGCACAACACATATGGACAATAGCCAACAAATCTCTCTTTATTGTTAGATGTAAGGGACTGATAACATCTATTTACATAAGTCCTTATACATCAGAGGTGCCAACATTACTATTATCGTGATCACTTAAGTTTTATTATTTTACACAATGTTATTGTTAAATGTCATTGAAAGTTTAACGCTGTCCAGAATCAGCTGTGGCCATGTGGTATTGTCACGGTTGGAAACAACATTGTATAACAAATGATCCTGGCCATTCTTTAGCCAGGAACTGACCACTTCCCAGTCTGTGTTCAGCATATAATTATCACAGTTTGGACAACCATATTTGAGTGTTATATATTTAATGAACTATATTGATGAATTCAAATTTTAACCTATTTCATCTCAGAATAATACTGACTCAAACTGCAGTGGCTTTAAGTGTGATGATTCAATTTATAACTCCCAACCTACCGGTGATTCAGTTTAAACATACCCAATCAAACAGATTCGGTGCAATGATTAATGATTGTGCACATAACACACATCCCCTCCACACACCTGTGTGTTCTTTGTTTATAAATAGTGCTCACTATGTTCAAGAAAATATGTCTTATAGCGTCTTCTTTAGTACATAGACCTTAGTATCTATGCTGTGACCATTCACATTATATATTTTTCCATTCAGCTTTTGACTGGGATATCAGAGATGTCATTCTATTTATATACACCAGTACACTTGAAATATTTCGAGAATTGTTTTGTCAATCATGGAAAGAAGGACATATCCCTTTCCAAAGTGGAGTAATATATTTTACAAGCATACAGAAATTATCAGTTGAGTGTGTTTAAGTGTCCAGGGATTTCTCCAGGGATTCATCGAGACTGATCATCTCGTAGTCTACATTAACTGTCTTAGCGAGTCCCCAAGTTCAGGCTTTGCAAATGAGACTTGTATGTCACTGATAACTTTGCCATTGAGAAGAAAAAGCTTAAAGGCACAGTGTCACACATTTTCGACAATAATTTGGCCTATATGATATATATTGGGGCATATGCACTCACTTCAGCTTCCTATTGATGCAATAAAAGACTTATTATCCTTTACGGCTTGCCTGAAATCGATAATTGAAACTTCGAGGCTGAAAAGCTTCCAAACAGAGAACACTTGCCATTTATGGAATGTAAACAATTGCTCTGTACATCGAAAACTGTCTCACTGATTACAATCACAAGTTGTGCAATGGATATTTGTAGAGAGTGCTCCAAGGGACATAACTCTATGGTGTGCGTTTGAAATAATATTCGGCTGGTAGAGGGTGAGAGTCGATTTAATGCAACATTGCATTAATTCATTCAAACTTTTTAATTTAATATTGTAATCTAAATATGTAATCTTGGGGGTAATGGATTATATGGTAGCTTCCCTGAAGGCTGATAGTTGGTATTTTTGAGAGAAATGCATTATTTATTTTTAGAGTAGTGTGGTGTGATAAAGTGCCTTTAAAAGTCTGAAGTGCTTTATACTTTTATGTTCTTGCAGTGAATACTGTGCTGGAATACATCTGAATTCCAGAAAACAACTATTAAAGTATGTACCTTTAAAACAAAATTTATTCCCTTGAAGTCATGAACCTTATATTTTACCATTGTCATATAGGTAGTCAGACCATGTGACTCGGCTCCATCGTGTACTCTAACAACCAGGGCTCTGTTATACATAGCAACCTTAGTGTTTAGTCAGTTGTAAGTCTATGTTATGGTATTGGAGTTAAATCGCCTTAGTTTATAGCACATATGATATAGACATATGACATCATGTGTTGTTTGTAACCATGTTTCATGGCCGCTTCATGCCTCCCTTCATTAGGTCATGACCTGATGTCAATCATGACAGTAAGAACACTTACTGGGTGTATGTGGGCAAAGACAATGACAGTGTTGTGAGGGAGAGAGATTTATGAGCAGATGAAGGGGGAAAAACATAGCCCAAGTTACCATCACTAATGTCTCCCACTACATGTCTCATGTTCCTACTATTTTAACTAGGGGTAAAACGGTATACTGTGGTATTAGTAGAACTGCAGTATTTTGCCTTCAGTTCGGTATACCATAATGTAATCAAAACATTTCATTAACCTTTTTAAACCTTTTCTAAAATGCCTAGAATTGAATCATCTATCTAGGCTTGGCTCTTGTCAATTTTCAATACGTACTGTACCGTGGTAAGAGCATACCATTTCACCCCTAGTATTAACTGCCTTGAGAGACTTAACACTAATAAAGAATAATGTTAATCTGAGTTTTGTTTGTTGTTTAATGCAGCACTCCGCAGTTTTCCAGCTGTATGATTGCGGTCTGTACAACAGAGAGAAAAGAAAGACTATTTCTAGGTCCACACCATTCTCTTCCCACAGAGGTTACTTCTCATATCTTCCTACGAACCTCTGTTCTAATACGGCCCTTTTATGATGCGAGTGTTCTGGATTCGTGATTGGTTGCAATCAGATTTAGTTGTGCAATCAGTGACGTTGTTTCAAAAGTGATCATTCGCAAGGCCTCGGTAATTTCCGTATGCTTCGGGAAAACTAGAACCTCTTCCCATGCGCGATGCGCAAACGTTTCTTCTAGACAGAACTCAGTCATGTAATGGCGGATCAAAAGCGTCTCCATCGCCCTCGTTGACAACGGACAAGCTAGCCATTAAATGTCTTGCGTGTCACATCAACACAAGTCCCCGGCAGAGGAAGGATATTTGTGGCCCCATATTTGCTTGCATTAGTTGGATCTTAGTCGATGTGACACGTGTTCTGATTGGATAGAAAGAAGGGAGATAATTCGTGTTGCGATATTTTGCCGCCCGGGGATTTTGCGAGAACCGGGAATATGGCCGTATTAGAACAGAGGTTCGTAGGAAGATATGACAAGTAACCTCTGTGGGAAGAGAATGGGTCCACACAGAAAACAAATATCCGTACTGTTTTCAATGTTTATTGTCTTCTTTACAAATCTTCAATCATAATTTACCTCAAAATGAAACCAAACAATCTGGCATTCTTAGAATGCAAACAGTTCTAATGACAATGACAAGGAGATAGAAATGACTGATGATACAATATGTACAAATACTACACGTGTCACGTCAAGGGTAACATCCCCAACAATACAAATTAAAACAATGCTCTACTCCTCTGTATAATGTTCTTATAAAAGTACTAAATTCCTGTTTCTGCTGACAACATGGTCATCAGGCAAATAGTGACATTCTTTAACCATCAAATTTGTTCCCAAAAGCTGTAAATCAGCCATTTTGAAATCACTTTCAACGAGTACCACACGCACAACAGAAAAACAACTTGCAATCATGAACATTTGGTGTTCCTGGGTGTAACACAGGCATAAGACTAGGACGTCAAAGCAGTCAAGCCTGGGACACAGGAATTAAAAAGCTGGAATTCAACTTTTACAAGGAAGGATCACTTGTACGATGGCTCAGAAATCCATGCATTATTCATCCTGTTCCTTTAAACTCTCCTTGACCAACATTTTTTCAAGCACCCTCTACAAAAACCAAAAATTTAAGTGATCGGACGTAGTTTCTTGTGGACACAACAGACTTCTTTTAAAATAGCAGTGAAGAACGGCACATAATTACCGAGTAACTATTAGCACAAATTACAAATGTTAAACTTCACTACGTTGTGTTGATGTAATCGCATGTGATTCCATGTCTCAAAAATTACAGTAAGCAAATGCCTTGACTCCTCTCATATGGCTAATAGTAACACTTAGTCACATTATTTTGATAGAACCAATGAAACAAGAACTTGGAAACGAGACGTAGAACATGTAGAAAATCTAGACTTCCTTCATTTACGATAGCATTACGGTACAGGGCCCCGTTCCTCAAAGCGATCAGAGCGCTACGACAGTCGTAACTCCCATACTTTACCATAGACTTACGACTGTCGTAGCGCTACGATTGCTTTGAGGAACTGGGCCCAGGATGGGCGGAAGGATACCAGGACTGACGGACAGACTACCCTTTTACCTACAGACTCAAAACATGACAAAATGGACAAGTTGAAACCAAAACAGTTCTGTAATTTGTGTGACATTATCGCCTAAATCTGCGCCCACCAGGTGGTATGAAAGCAACTTGACCACAAGACACATGATATGATATGAAGTTAACCACATTAACCAGGTATGATGACAGCCACGACAAGTTTATCTCCAGAACAACCTGAAAATGCTACATCTTCCTCACCCTGGGAATTCCTTTCCTATATGTAATGAGTGAGTGAAGTTAGTTTTATGCCGCACTAAGCAATATTCCAGCTATAAGGCGGTTCCTATATATACTGGCAAACAAGGATAAGTTGGACCGGCGCAGAGAACGGGTTTACGGAGAAGGCGGTGCACGGCAATGAGCAAACCCATTTAGTTTGTGAAAGGTAGAGCAGATGTAGGCTAGTGCACATGTATTGCATGACGATGAAATTGATTCCGCGTGTAGCTGCACACGCCTTGCTCAAAAGACTCTCATATCGGTGTAGCAAGTTGCACTACACTTGATCGCGGATAACCCGGGGTCCCTTCGCTCACAATGGCAAGCGCCAGTGGGAGGCACTCATACATGCTAATACGTGTCAACTGTCAGGTCGGTGCTCAACTTATCCTTGTTTGCCAGTGAGAGCTGGTATTACAACATAATAACATCATAACAAATATCACATATTTTCAAGTATAGTCACAATGTATGTAAATAATGCAATAACTAGAAGCAAACTTCATTCAATTATATTTGTTTAGGCCAGACCTATCTTAATTCTTGTTTTACAGATTTTTTCCTCCGAAAACCAAAAGGAGGTGGGTGGTTGTTGAAGAATTATCAGTCAGTCACATGAGTTTTTCCATGTTAACTCTTTTGGTTTGTTTATATCAACTAAAAATAAGTTGAGTGAGTTTAGGTTTCACTTTGATTTCACATTAACATTACTTTATCACATTAACTTTAGTTGTTTTTTTCCTTTTGTTGAGTTTTGGGGGTTATTATTATGTTATTTTTTTGTTTATTGTCTTTTGTGTTTTAGACATGCCCTTAATGATAATATGTTTGTATTACCATCATATCTATAAATGTTGTATCTAATTTTAATAATAAAAACAACAATTGATGTCTGAAGTGATAGGTATCCACAACAGGTGCTTGCTGGTGCTATTACATAAATAAAATCAACTCAATGGACATATATACAAACGATCCTGAAAGATGTGAAGTGCTGAGAGGTGAGTTTGGAGGAGAACTTTGAAAATGTCTTTTCATTCTTATTTCTATGAAAACTAAGTGATAAATGTCTGCCGAGTGGGGGGAATATTTGAAGATGTCTGAAGCATATTTTCTGAAATTATCGATGAGTTTAGGTAATTAGTGAGATCATTTCACAAGAAGCATTGTGATTGTCATGCTAGTCTCTGGATACAACTCTAACTTTCAATAAACAAGTAAACAACGCTATAGGAACAACAGGGAACATCATCTATCAGACCAACCATAGCATTATAGTAGTAAAATATTAATACTGTCCACTAGACAGAGATGCCAACCCTGAATCTAATGAAAGCAGAGTCCGAGCACTGAAAGGTTGGCACGTGGTCGGCTCAGCCACTTGTTTCACTTACATACGGGCTATGACATGCATTCGGTGAAACTTTGTCATCAATAACACGAAATATACACAATCGAGACCAAAAAGATCTCATGCTAAGCTTCTGAATGCTTTTACCAGAGTCCACTCAAATAAATCACCGGTGATTTATGAAATTGTATACCGTAAAAAAAAAAAATCTGAGTTTTTCAAAGACAAATCGGAGGGCAGATTTTGTATATGAAAACTGGAGTAACTCTGCCAAAATCAGAGTGGTTGGCATCTCGGCACTAGATAGCTCCCAAATGCTTCGCCCTAAGACATAAGTATTCTTGTTCTTACCCAGCAACATTCTGGAATAACTGAATACCTAAATATCTCATACAACTGACAATTATCAGTTGTTTTTTCAACCAAACATAGCATTTATTTTGTCATATTTCTATAACTAAAAACTATCTCCCTCTAAAGCTGACTAATGAGTGAGTGAGCATGGTTTTACGCTGCGTTAGCAATATTCCAGCCATATTACAGTGGGGACACCAGAAATGGGCTTCACACAATCTACCCATGTGGGAATTGAACCTGGATCTTCGGGCGTGACAAGCAAACGCTTTAACCATTAAACTACCCCACCGCACCTTGACTAATGAGATGAGAAACACACATACACCATATGAAATATCTCTAGGATATTCAGGTTTGACTCACTGCAGCCATACACAAACAAGCATATGCTGTCAAAGGATATGGAAGCTGTCTTTACTGGCTTGGCATATGGAGGACCATTCTCTTCCCACAGAGGTTACTTGTCATATCTTCCTACGAACCTCTGTTCTAATACGGCCATATTCCCGGTTCTCGCAAAATCCCCTGAGCGGCAAAATATCGCAACATGAATTATCTCCCTTCTTTCTATCCAATCAGAACACGTGTCACATCGACTAAGATCCAACTTACTAATGCAAGCAAATATGGGGCCAAAAAAATATCCCTCCTCTTCCGGGGACTTGTGTTGATGTGACACATAAGACATTTAATGGCTAGCTTATCCGTTGTCAACGAGGGCGATGGAGACTCTTTTGATCCGCCATTACATGACTGAGTTCTGTCTAGAAGAAACGTTTGCGCATCGCGCATGGGAAGAGGTTCTAGTTTTCCCGAAGCATACGGAAATTACCGAGGCCTTGCGAATGATCACTTTTGAAACAACGTCACTGATTGCACAACTAAATCTGATTGCAACCAATCACGAATCCAGAACACTCGCATCATAAAAGGGCCGTATTAGAACAGAGGTTCGTAGGAAGATATGAGAAGTAACCTCTGTGGGAAGAGAATGATGGAGGACTGAATCCATTAACAACATAAAACTAAACACACAAAATATCTTCTGTTCATATTGTAAAAACATTCTACCTATATACCATTGCAATCAAAAGATCAAAGAGTTCTCACATGAATCCGACCAAATACTTAATGAAACATGGTGCCACAGATGAAACTATACAATTGCAGGATCTCTGTTTATCATCCCCTATTTCCCCACCTGCACTTTGTTAAACCACCTGAAACAATTCCTGTGTTTCTCGCAATCTCAATTTTTCAGCCCTTAATTTCCATTTGTCAATTTGATTGGCTAGCAACAAAAACCTCAATGTTGGGTGGCAATAGCAACAAGATGGAAGAGAAATTTAACATTCAAAACCAGACTGACATGCAAAGGAAAGCTCTCATAAATCATTTTGATGGATGGAAACCCATTAATAGTGGCTTAATGTAATACAAGTTATTCCCCTTACCCATTTACTCTTTTCCTTATTTTGATGTTTGATTGGTCGAAAACTTGTTGACAAAAATAAAGGGCAGGTAATTTAGAATCACGGGAATGGATCCAGGGGTTAGTGTAAGTTTTCCCAAAAGCAGACCCTTGAGAAACAGTGGATGCATGTTTATAGGCTCACAATATGACTATCGCTCAAGTTGTGTGAACCTATTCTAACCTGTAAACCGACAGGGCAAACTTTCAGTTGACTTTACCTCCATGTAAAGAAGGCAAGTTTAGCCCAGCCACAGAGACTACTCCTCCAGTCCAGGGTCTCATCTAAATTTGGCCCAACATTTACATTATGACATAATAATCGTTTACAATCCCAGAGCCTGGGATTAAAAAAAAACAGAAGTGGAACCCAACAGGCCAAATCTATTTTCACAGTTTCTGTCAGTTCAAAGACATGGTGCTCTACACTTAAAAAACTCTATGTCCTTCATATCAATGTTAAACCAACATATCCTTGATATACATCATCTTGAACACATACTGTGGCTTCATATCTGTGCTGAGGCTTGGCGAAAAGGCAATTGCCTCGACAGTTCTTGTGTGGTGGATTGGGCTTTCTTAGTGTGTACTCTCTGATGGCAACAACATGCAGATACTGAGGACTACTCCATTACTACTCCATTGCGAGGTCTGACTACAACCGTAATCAGTAATAATGACATAAAGTATTGAGGTTGTTGATTAATGGTAACTATATACCGCATGTTATGCCAAGATGTTGCACCTCCCTCAGCCAGATCACACACAATGAATACCTACACTTGTCAACCGGAGCCATTAACCAGCATCACAATAATGCTGGTACAGTGACCCATCAATGACCGGCCATATTATCAAGGACCAGTTTTAAACTCTCGTGTAATCAACAACAGCATGAAATGTATGTATAGCCTTGTGGCCAATGGATGACTGCCTGCTTCATCAAAGACCGGAATTACTCTCGCCTAAAAACCCCACTCCATGAAATTTATGGCTTTGGGGCCCATGAAAGACCACCAACATTATAAAAGACCAGCGTTACTCTCACCAACAGCAAGAAATGTATGTACTGCAGTATTGTGAAGACTACAAGGGATGACAACATCCACTGTATCAACCTGTTGTCCTCTGTCTCCTGTCTTGTCTATGAGTACATCCACTGTATCAACCTGTTGTCCTCTGTCTCCTGTCTTGTCTATGAGTACATCCACTGTATCAACCTGTTGTCCTCTGTCTCCTGTCTTGTCTATGAGTACATCCACTGTATCAACCTGTTGTCCTCTGTCTCCTGTCTTGTCTATGAGTACATCCACTGTATCAACCTGTTGTCCTCTGTCTCCTGTCTTGTCTATGAGTACATCCACTGTATCAACCTGTTGTCCTCTGTCTCCTGTCTTGTCTATGACTACATCCTACTAATCAGGGCCTAGATTTTCGAAACTCTATTAGTGCAAAGATAGTCGTGAGTTAATGTTAATGTATGACACTTACGACTATCTTAGCTCTAAGAGAGCTTCAAACATCTAGGCCCTGGTGCTTTCTTTGTTGTGATAGTTCATTATGCCTTTGCTTCCACGTCAGACTTCACAATCTCAAATCGAACCTGGACACAGGCACCAAAAACCAAATCTGTTCTCACTTCTCAAATCACCTTAATATATCATACTGCCAGTGCAATCCTATTACAATGCAACTCGTACACCACCAAAATTTTACCAAGGACCCATCTTTGACTGAAGATGACAATTTTGTTCCCTAGCAAACGTACAGTAGCATATAAATTTCACCATAATCCAAATACAATTCAATACAAACAACTCAGTAGCCATGGTAACAATAATTCGCATAAGATCTTGCCAACAGCTGACTGTCCATTCTTACTGAACAAGCACCTGTATTTTACACAGTACAGGCATTTACATAATGCAGATATGCGTGTCAATGACATGCAAATGTACAGAACAGTCCCAGGGAAAAAATGTATTGCATCCTGGGGGACGCACAATAAAATTCATTTTACAAAATTCTCGAAAAGCCATACACAGCTACTGTGATTAAGAACAGTACACTACACCATTTCATTACTTTATAGGATGAGTTTTTCCTATAATGACCATTGAAAATATTCATTGGCTCTCGAAGTGACCCCTAGTTTTGTAGGTCAAGGTCAAACACTGTAGTATCTCCTGATACTATCATCGAGCAAATTGTCTCTGGTTTGGGAAAATTAAGCAGCCAGAGGCACTTTAAGCATTGTTGTATCTGAAAACATATTCAAAAAACAATCACAAAAGGATCCCATTCACATACTGCCATTTGGTTCTACAAAGATGAACATCGCTTCAAGTCTTGTTGACAGCATCCCAAGTTTGCAGATCACTGACTTCAACCGATGTTTGGGAGCAAACAGTCAACTACTCTCCACATAATACCTGATCCATGCAACCTGGATGGAAGTGCCGAGAAATAACAGTCGCATAGTATCCAGTCAACAACACAGGCGCACAGGTACGACACAGGTACCACATCATTCCCAGCGGGTCCTCTTCCTCCGAGACTGTGGTTGCTGAATTCCTCCCTTGATTCCGTGGACGACTGACGGCACGCCCTCCTCTGTGGCAGCCGTGAAGTTGGCCTTGAACTGTGCCTGCAACATAATAATGGCTATTTATAAAGCAACTGTTTGCACGCACTTGTGCATGCTCAAGGCGCTAACACATTATTAGAGATGACAAAACAAATCTTTATGGTTGATCAATTTCTTTATTTTCACAGTAGCGACGTTTCGGTATAGCTTCTTATACCAATTTCAAGCATAACACATTATTACCACGGATAACCCAAGGAGCTAAAAGGTTAACAGTCAAATGACTTATACCACTGGGTACCCATTCACTGCTGGGTGAACAGAGGCAATTTATGAACAAACTCACCCGCCTAGAATCTAAAGAACTGAGGTCAGAGGACTATGGTCCGTTTGGGTTCAAATGAGAATCAACCATGATTAAATATCTCGAAATAGGGATATGTGCACAAAACATAAATAAAACACATGGTCCTGAAACCTCTGTACCCAACAGGATCTGAAATCTGACGTTTTATGATCGATCGCGGAAAAGTTATTTAAGAAACCATCATGTAATATTGTGCTATTTTCACGCTTCACACCAAGGGGTGACAAACGGCTGGTGAAACAGCACCAGCACAGATTCAGGTGCAACTCAGCACAGCCAGGTGAGATGACCCCAGCTTGTCAGGCTTGTCTATATTACATCATAGTTTCTTAAACAACTTTTTTCGTGATCGATCAAAAAACGTCAGATTTCAGATCCTGTTGGGTACAGAGTTATCAGGACCATATTTTGAAATGATTCAGGAAGAACTCACATGCTTTTATCACTTCACGAAATACACAGCAAAACGTAAATTTGGTGATTTCATTTAAATGGGAACTGCCAGCACCTTCAATTTACTATAGACTCTGCTGCTGCTGTAACCCTTTACTTCCAGCTTTCTCTGATGGGGGACCACAATTGTTAACTTTTGGTCCTTGCTTCTGTTAACATTTTTATGTGGATTTTAGCAACTCCATCTCTTGATGCAAGCATCAAGTGGAGAAAGTGACCCTTCTTATGTAATGCCTGTAGAACTGCGCCCTTACAAGTACTGGGTCTTATCACTTATGATAGTCTGTCTTAGACTTGCATATGGACTCTAAAGCTGTAACTCTCCTGAGTGTTGGCTTTTGCAAGTCATGGAATAAAAGGGCAAGACTCTGTCTCAGCTCCTCTGTGGAACTGTCAATTGTTGTTCTACAACAACAGGGCCGAAATGGTGAATGCCAGAGACGTCTTCAGTGGCGATGTCTCTCAGGTAGTGGTTGGCAAACACCATGTCTGATTTCCAAAAGCAGCCCTCCACGTGATAGAGCAGTTTCCATGTAGAGCTAGTGTTGACGTCAGAGCTCTAATTCCATGTGGATTGGAGGCTCTTGGAGGATCAAGTCCTGCTGCTTTGCAGGCCCGTAGAATGACAGTTCTCATCCATATTGATATCGTAGTGCGAGAGATCTCAGTCTGTGTCTCTGCCGATATAGGGATGAAAAGACGCTTGAATTTTCGTCTCCTGGTCCTAGACCTTTGAAGGTAGACTTTTAATGCTCTTACTGGGCACAAGGATATGTGTATCCTGTGGCCCAAGGACTGATGATAGTGCTGGGATGTGGAATTGTCTTTTGGTTGACCTGGCAGTTGATTCTTTGCTATAAAGTCCCATCTCAGTCCCATATGCACAATGTTTCGATTTTCATCAAATCGTGTCCTTTCAAAGTCTAGAGCATGTATTTCCGACATCCTTGCTGCTGTTGCTAAGGCAATCAGGAACAGAGTTTTCTGTGTCAAGAACTCAAAAGATGTCCTATCTAATGGTTCATAAGCGTCACTGGATCTGGTATTGGAGAGACGAATGTTACCAGTTGATTGTTGAATCTTGTGGCAAACAAGTCTATTAATGGCGCTCCTATCTCTTGTATGATCAGTTTGAAGATTTCTGGATGTAGCATCCATTCTGTTGGGGATCTCTGAGTTGGACGAGATAGTGCGTCTGCTATCACATTCTTGGCTCCTGGAATGTGGCATGCTTTTATGTGGATGTTCAGATTGTCTGTTATGCTGAACAGATGAAAGCACAGGTTCAGAAGGTTCGCCGACCTTGTTGACCCTTATTTGTTTATGTAGAACGCCACTGTGGAGTTGTCCGTGTGTACCGTTAGATGAGCATTTCATAGAATGCTGGTCCAGTGGAGTATGGCGTTTATCACTGCTTTCATTTCTATCATGTTGATATGCAGATCTTTCTCTTGTAACGTCCATTTCCCAGCTGACACTTCGTTGTCGAGGTGTGCTCCCCATCCTTGGAGAGATGCGTCCACATATAGATGCGTTTTGCACTCCGGCTCTGCTAAGTAGGTGCCTCCGCAAACATTCGATCTCTGAGTCCACCATAGTAGATATGGTTTTAGTCTGTCCGGAGTCCGAAGGTCCGGATCGTCCAGATGTGCAATTACTAAGACCTGTAGTGGGCGTGCCCTTGTAATCTCCCTCTGCGCGTCATATCCTGTGCTGACGTGAGGAGACCCAACAGACTCTGCCACTGTCGGAGTGGCCACGGAGAGAGTAGAGCTTGCGATACCATCTGTTGTATCTTTAGCCAACGGTCCTCTGGTACTGTTATGCAGTTTTCTGTTGTGATGAGCCGAATTGCTAGGAACTGCAGGTCCTGTGTAGGCTCTGCCAACTTCGTAGTAATAACGGAGAGAGTAGTGCTTGAGATACAATGGCTTGTATCTAGATCCAACGATTGTGAAACCCTTGCCATGTCCGTAAGGGAAACGAAGCAATGTCCGACTCTGTGAGTACAAGCACTACTCTCTCCGTCTATATAAAGTAGACTGGCTGCCGTAACCAAAAGTCCGCAAACGTATATTGCTGCAATACGCCTGATGAATCATCTTCAATGCTGACAGGGAAGGTCTCTAACCCCGTGAAGACAGCCGAATCACGTAGTTCCCATCTAACGGGACTGTAATTGAGGCCTTCCTCCCACGTTGAAAGGTTGTTGTCACTTGTAAACAATTCCCTGACATGTGAACTACGTCCGACTTCGGCGCAGGACGTTGTCTCTCAGGGACCAATGAAAATGAAGCATTTTGATTCCTTTAGCTTCCCGCGATGTGACGTCACCGGTGTAGCAGAAAAAAGGTCCTTGTAGAATCTTGTGCAGTCGTTGATATCTTATCAACACTCGGTCTTGTCCGTAGCCTTCGGAGTTATACGAAAGTGACCACGTGTATAGAGGGTTGCATGGTAAACGCCAGCGCGAAATATTTCGCCGCGTAATACCGATGTAGGTAGGCTGTTTTCCTGGCTGCTGTGACTGTTACTTCAGTCCTGAAGATAATGCAGTCATCCTTTTATACAGATGATCAGCTGAAGTCTACACCTCCTCAGCGCTGCTACTTGTAGACTGCATTCATCGATCTTAATAAAGCGTCGTAAATTACCCTCTTTGTGTTGAAACACACAGGTCCTTGTAGATTTGATGCTCAACTTTGTTGTAAATTCTACAAAGGGAGTCGTTGATGATTTTGTAGTTTACATCAATCTCTGGAGCCTTCATGCAGGGTCCCATGTAAAGCAGCGGGAATTCCCCAGCTTGAACGTTGGGAATATGTTGACTTTGTAACTTCATGGCCTTAGCAAGGCTGCTGCTGAACCACGCCAATGTGAATACCTGAAGATCTGTACGCAAGTGAAGATCTCTATATGGACATGAGTCACGTTATTATCTTCTGATGTAGATATATCTATCTAAAATTTCTCAACGATGTGAATCCCGTCCTGGGTTCAGTCTGAAGATCTGCGCAGGTGATGAATTCGGACAAGAGTACCCCTCTTGAACTTCAACACGTGTCCCTCAGTCTTTGCCCCGGCGAAGGTCTCTTCCTCCATGCTGAAGAGTTCCTTCGTATAGGCTCACAACGAAGATCAAGGTCTGAGGGTGAAGTGGGATGGTCCAATGACGTCTATATTAATCGTAGAAACTGCAGAGCATGATTGTCAAGTGCGTGATCCTTCACACATTTCTTCATGCCGATTACCTCCCGCAGCTTCGTCCTTTAGGCTTGTGCGAACCGTCCATTAGGTCCATCATTTGCTACGTCCAAGACAGGGTCAATTGGAGGTAGAGTGATAGTGTCCACATCATCGTCCTTCATTAGGTACGTAAATGCTTCATTCTCTTCCTTAGAGGGTGACGCTAGGTCCAGTCCATTAGACATCAATATTTTATCTCTGAGTCCGAAAATATGATACCGCCATCGTCCTCTGTATCATGTCGACTGGTATATGATCGTTGAATATCCTTAGTGTATGGAGATCTGCGTGGCGATCTACGTGTCGATCTACGTGGCGATCTGTGTGGAGATGAGTATGTTGAACTACATGTAGTTCTAAGAGGAGATCTGTATGGCGACCTGCGTGAAGGTGAGCGTCTTCTAGGCCGGGATTGCCTTCCTGGCAATATATTTCTAAGTGGTGAATCCCGTGACAACCTGCGAGGAGTTGTTGATGCCCTTGAAGATAATTCAGACGACCTTCGCGCAGGTGAGAGGTTTTGTTGAGGGTCTGAGTCCCGAGACGTCTCTCTAGACCTTCTAGGTGGTGTAGGTTTCTTTCTGTGTGAAGTGGGTAGCCTGCGTGAAGGTTCTTCATTAGCCTCATCCTCTGATGATGATCTATTTGGTTCTGAAGAGCGTGCCCTCCTTCGCGCAGGTTTGCTGACGCCATGCAGTGTAGGTCTGCTCTTAGTCCTAGAGCTAGATCCACTGGTAGGCCTCTCAGATGTATCATCAGTGTGGGGTCCTTCGTGCAGCACTGGATCCTCTCTGAGGTTGATGACTTGGGCATGAGAGCCGCCTGGCTGTCCATCATGCGAGGTTCTTTCCTGCTCGAAGCGCTTCTCCATCATTTCCATCATTTGTTGAGAGAATTGCTGCATGAAGGTCCCGGGGTTGAATGTTTGCGACGACTGTAGAGATGACGCATCTGAGAGGGTAGCGATATGGTCCAGGCATCGCTGTACCTCATGGGTCCCTGCTGCCAGTGTAGAAGGTAACTCAGACTGCGTCGATAATGTTGCTGACGTTACCGTTGCTGAGGCCTGAGTCTTCTTCTTATGCAGTATCTCTGGGATGAGGATAGGCGGTTCTTCGAACAAGCCTATTTCTTCCATCGGGACGATCTCGGCAGAGAAGGTCCTTGTAGTCTGTGAAGAGCTCCCAGTAGATCTCGTTGAAGCCTTAGGGGTGTAAGGCTTCTTCTGCGACGAAGATGGCCCTTAGTATGGGTTGAGGAGTTGTCCGACGTAGAAGATCTTTTCTTCGACGTAATGGCAGACTTCATCCCACGCCCATCTTTTGAAGACGCCTCCGGCAGGTCACTGGATGGAAGTATGTCGTCTGACAACGACAGACAGCTCTTTAGGGACTCAGCCGGTTTAGCCATGACTTGTAACAGCCGTCTGGATTTATCCTTAGCACGTCTAAATACAGAGAAATAATAATTATTAAATTCAATTTTTGTTAGTTGCTGACATAATTTACAGCGAGAGCTGGAAGTACATATTGTTGTGCAACTAGGGCACAATAAATGCGGGTCTGCAGCAGAGAACCTAACCCTACAACGAAAAACAGGTTTTCATGAAATGTAAACAAACTGAACAATCAATGGAAACCGCGGAATAAACAGTCAAATTTGCTAATAAATTTCAAACCATATTGTAGAAGGATACTCCCTGAAACCTTATAAAGGTAACTTATAGGGTAATAACTAAGTTAGCAAAGGATATAGTGCCGTGTTGGAGACACAGGTGCTTTCCCAACCGTCCACTAGGGCAGAAGAAGGAGAGAGTGAGGGGTGGGAAGACGGGTGGCGCCGTTTTCCCGCCAAAACGGAGAGGGAGACAACTCGTGGTGAGTAGTGATTTTACGTCTGCTTTTTTTAAGGGAGCTTCAAAAAGGAGATACAAGTGTTCCACTAATGTTCGGGAAAGGAAGGAGACAAGCAATAATACATGAGTCAGGATAAGGAAAAATATAAAGAAATTATAAAAAAAGGACCATGTGTGTTATTTATGTTTTGTGCACTTATCTCAATTTCGAGTTCTTTAATCATTTGTCGTTCTCATTTGAACCCAAACGGACTATAGACACTAGCTTGAGGTACTTACGGCAAATGCTGTCTTCATTGAAGAGATTCTGTCTCCTTGAGGCCCTGATGAGCCCAAGCCCCGGTAACTGGCGAAACTTGTTGATTCCTGAACCCGAGTGCTCTGCCAACATAAGCAAGAAAATATTTACAATCAGTGGAGCTGTGATTCCAAACCTTCAGATTCATATATACCACTCAAAGGAATTGAAGAACACCTGAGACTTTCATATTACTAGAGCTAGATGTTTTCACAGTGAGTGAATTGGTTCCAACCATATTACAGTGGGGACACCAGAAACAGGCTCGAACTCAGGCCTTCGGTGTAATGAACGAACGGTTTCACAATGAGGCCACCCCATAGCCAATGGCATTACCGATTGACTACAGTGATAAACAAGATATGGGCGTTCTGTAACTTCTTTTGGGTAGTATATTTGGGACTAAGGGCAAAAAGCAAAGGAAGACAAACAATCATAAAACACAACTAGCTCTCAGGCAATGGCTTCTGTACCGTTGGTGTAGACCTTGCATCTTACATATTGGTCATTTGTACTTTTACAGAATTGCAATGGATAAACACTGAACCATTGAAACAGTGGAACAGTGCTTGTACCAGGGCTGATGCACACTTTGGTAAGGGTGTAGGTTCATTATGAAACAATTTGTATAAATGGTACAATCTTTCACAAATGGTAAGCTACACATCATCCTCGATAATCTCCAGGGTATACGTTACGATAACCCTCCACTATACCCTGGATGCATCCACGGCTTCGGGTGATTATTTTATTACCTCCCTTGGCTGGCTTTTTATCCAATCAGGTGCCTACGCTGGGAAGTTGAGCATACCAATCAAAACTCACATTCGCTTCTTAACTTATCTAACCGTTTAAACTTGGCAACACAATTGATGCAGAGGTACTCTGAAAGAAGTAGAAGGAGTTCTGTCATATATTTTTTAAAAGTTTCAGATCTGTCAATTTATCTTTATTATTTCCCCAAAAATCTGAGTGGCACTGCGAACAAACCTTCACGACTGCGACCACTATCCTTGTTGACACTGGCAAGCTCGGTTGTAACGACGGCTTAGCTGCTTGGCTACTGTGAGAATGTGGAGCCAGCAAAGGGAGGTAATAAAATCATCGCCCAAAGCCGTGGATGCATCCAGGGTATAGTTGAGAGTTATCGTAACATATACCCTGGAGATTATCGAGGATGGCTACACATCAGCAAAGGTATTTAATGAAAGCTATCTTCTCAAGGCAAGAGATCGCTGTATATGTATTTTTCAACAAGAATGGCACTCGAGGTTAGAAGAAAGCTCCCGTTTTGATTGTTACAGACAGTTGAAGTCCCTTTTAGAACCAGAAAGACATTTATCCCTCGTGACTACAAAGAATCTGAGACTGCTACTTGTAAAGTTTAGATTGGGGCTATTAGATTTAAAAGTAAATGAAGGAAGAAGACTATCCATTGATAGAAATTATAGATCATGTCCATTTTGTAAAAAAGGCATTGAAGACGAATTACATTTTCTTGTTGAATGTCCAGCCTATGATAAAATCCGTTCTGATTATCTCCGTAACTGTATTACAATCAGAAGTAATAATGCAGCATTTTACAAAATTGTTTCCTCATGCGATGTCTCCATTTTAAAAAGATTATCACTGTATATCCATCATGCTATTATGTTAAGAAAACAATTGTTATCCTACTAAATAAGAACCTTCTTTGTAACCGCTGTATATGGGCCGGTGGCCTTACATACAAATAAACATATTTTGACTTTGACTTTGACTGTAGAAGTCCTGTTTCCCTCCCTTCCGATCTAGGCTGGAATGTCAGTGTTACATTTTGACTGTCCTTACGCGTCTATCCATCATCCATTCAAACCACTGAGAAACTGTGAGGAATGGAATGTGAAACATTTCTTCAATTTATTCGACCAGAATTTCTGAACAGGATGGCACCATTATCTGCAATATTCAGCAACATCACAGCAGGTGACAGCGGAAACTGCCCTCAAACATTTTACCCAAGTGGGATCAAAATTGGACCTTCATCGTTATAAGCAAACTCTGTAACCATCAGGCTACCCCATGTTGCCGCAAGACACCATGTTGCATATGTAAAAACGATAAATACAAACATTTTCAGAGCCCAATCCTGGTCTCTCCTTGAAGCCGAGTCCTTTGCCTCCCATTCTCTTCCCCTGACCCTTCTTGAAGCGATTCTTCTTGAACCATGGACACTGAAACACAAAGTGGAGTCAACGTAGATGTTACAAACAGTTTGAAACATATGACATGTTGACAGCTGAACCCACAGACTATATGCATTGCCGTGCTAACTGAGTTTCTGTTTCACAGTCCACTGGCTGATAAGTAGTTGGGACGGTGTGTGACCCTTAAATACACAGATATCAAGTAGTTAGGTTGTATTCAGTTTATCTGCCTTCAACTATATTCTGGGAGTGTGTGTTGGGTGTTTGACCTCAGTTTAAGATCTGCCTTCAACTATATTCTGGGAGTGTGTGTTGGGTGTTTGACGTCAGTTTAAGATCTGCCTTCAACTATATTCTGGGAGTGTGTGTTTGGTGTTTGACGTCAGTTTAAGATCTGCCTTCAACTATATTCTGGGAGTGTGTATTTGGTGTTTGACGTCAGCTTAAGATCTGCCTTCAACTATATTCTGGGAGTGTGTGTTGGGTGTTTGACGTCAGTTTAAGATCTGCCTTCAACTATATTCTGGGAGTGTGTGTTGGGAGTTTAAGATCTGCCTTCAACTATATTCTGGGAGTGTGTGTTGGCTGTTTGACGTCACACTCTGCAACATTCAGGCTATATGGCAGTGGACTGGAAATAGTCAAACCTGTACCAGACAATCCAGTGATTGATTCTGTGACAACAATGTATTCCATAAACGTATGCTATAACAGTATGTCAAAATGGGGTGCTTTAATTGTATTCTGTAATTGTATATCATTTTTGTATACTGAAATTGTACACCATAAATGTTCATGTGATTGTATACTGTATGTAACTTTATGACTTTGAAGTATGCTGTCATTGTATGATTGTATGATACAATTGCATGATGTAGTTGTATGTGATTGTAAGCTGTCATTGTGTGATACAATTGTATGTAATTGTATGCTGTCACTGTGTTGTAGTTGTATGTGATTGTAAGCTGTGCTGTCATTGTATGATACAATTGTATGTTGTAGTTGTATGTGATTGTATGCTGTGCTGTCATTGTATGATACAATTGTATGTTGTTGTTTGTATGTCAGTGTATGATACAATTGTATGTTGTAGTTGTACGTCATTGTTTGATACAATTGTATGTTGTAGTTGTATGTCATTGTATGATACAATTGTATGTTGTAGTTGTATGTCATTGTATGATACAATTGTATGTTCTAGTTGTATGTCATTGTATGATACAATTGTATATTGTAGTTGTGACCCATCACAGAAACAACAGCTGACTATACCTGATTTGCGATATCCATGAGAGATGCAGGTACATTTTGATTGGCTCCTTCCAAATTGCGGACAAGATGGGGAGCAAATTCCTTGTCCTTCTCAGTGATCAGTGTATAAGCGTAGCCCTTCTCTCCTGCAGCAGAGAAAACACAGGTGACATCCACTGTCATGGAATTCGGGTTATCGACCAGCATTATCATCCTATAAAGATTGAGTCTGTGGCCCATGACGACTTCAGTCAGTTATGTGATCCTGTGTTGATTTACATAAGTTTACAACCTGCAGCATCTACAAACATGCACCTGTTCCATCCGTGGCAATCTTCCCTACTTTACTACAATTAGGGATTTGTACAAACAAACACTTGCTCTGTGTTAATACAAACCTACAACCTGAAATACCTACAAAAAGCACCTGCTCAGGGCAGCCTAATCAACAAACAAGTCCCTGCTCTTCCTCTGTTGATCTTACCCATTCTACAACCAGATACATCTACAAACCAGCACCTGCTCTTCCTCTGTTGATTTTACCCATGCTACAACCAGATACATCTACAAACAAGCAGCTGCTCTTCCTCTGTTGATTTTACCCATTCTACATCCAGATACATCTACGAGCATGCAACTCTTCTTCCTCTGTTGATTTTTCCCAATTCTACCACCAGATACATCTACAAACAAGCACCTGCTCTTCCTCTGTTGATTTTACCCATTCTACATACAGATACATCTACAAACAAGCACCTGCTCTTCCTCTGTTGATTTTACCCATTCTACATCCAGATACATCTACAAACCAGCACCTGCTCTTCCTCTGTTGATATTACCCATTCTACAACCAGATACATCTACAAACCAGCACCTGCTCTTCCTCTGTTGATATTACCCATTCTACAACCAGATACATCTACAAACCAGCACCTGCTCTTCCTCTGTTCATTTTACCCATTCTACAACCAGATACATCTACAAACAAGCAGCTGCTCTTCCTCTGTTGATTTTACCCATTCTACAACCAGATACATCTACAAAGCAGCACCTGCTCTTCCTCTGTTGATATTACCCATTCTACAACCAGATACATCTACAAACCAGCACCTGCTCTTCCTCTGTTGATTTTACCCATTCTACATCCAGATACATCTACGAGCATGCAACTCTTCTTCCTCTATTGATTTTTCCCAATTCTACAACCAGATACATCTACAAACAAGCACCTGCTCTTCCTCTGTTGATTTTACCCATTCTACATCCAGATACATCTACGAGCATGCAACTCTTCTTCCTCTGTTGATTTTTCCCAATTCTACCACCAGATACATCTACAAACAAGCACCTGCTCTTCCTCTGTTGATTTTACCCATTCTACATCCAGATACATCTACGAGCATGCAACTGTTCTTCCTCTGTTGATTTTTCCCAATTCTACCAACAGTTACATCTACAAACAAGCACCTGCTTTTCCTCTCTTGATTTTCCAAATACATCTACAAACCAGCACCTTGTCTTCCTCTGTTGATTTTCCAATTCTACCACCAGATACATCTACAAACAAGCACCTGCTATTCCTCTGTTGATATTACCCATTCTACATCCAGATACATCTACAAACAAGCACCTGCTCTTCCTCTGTTGATTTTCCAATTCTACCACCAGATACATCTACAAACAAGCACCTGCTCTTCCTCTGTTGATTTTCCAAATTCTACCAACAGATAGATCTACAAACAAAACACCCGCTCTTCCTCTGTTGATTTTCCAAATTATACCACCAGATACATCTACTAACAAAACACCTGCTCTTCCTCTGCTGATTTTCCAAATTTTACCACCAGATACATCTACAAACAAGCAACCTGCTCTTCCTCTGTTGATTTTCCAAATTCTACCACCAGATACATCTACAAACAAGCAACCTGCTCTTTCTCTGTTGATTTTCAAATTCTACCACCAGATACATCTACAAACAAGCAACCTGCTCTTTCTCTGTTGATTTTCAAATTCTACCACCAGATACATCTACAAACAAGCAATCTGCTCTTTCTCTGTTGATTTTCCAAATTCTACAACCAGATACATCTACAAACAAGCAGCTGCTCTTCCCATGGCAATCTAAGCTACTCTTCAACCACAGATATCAACAAATAAGCACCTGCTCTTCCAGTCCTGCCTATTCTGTGTGTGTGTGTGTCGATGTCCCTGGCTACTGTCCAGAAGTTGACCACTGTGCGGATGTGGGGGATGTCGAGGCCACGTGCAGCAACATCTGTAGCCACCAGTATCGGCATCTCTTTCTTTTTGAAGGCAGAGATGACATTATTCCTCTCATTCTGGTCCATGTCTCCGTGAAGTAGACCAACTGAAATATAACACATTCAGGCCACTGATTACTACATTATAACACCCATCCTTTCACACGCCCAGCCTCATATCTTTTTATGGGCTTCTACAAATGATCAACCTTGCAGATGTGTGCTGTTTGTGTTCCTACTGCCTAAATAAAAGAGACAAAATCATTATCCATATTCAGAAGAGTAAAAGCTAAAAAGAAGATTGACTGACTGAGTTTGGTTTTACGCCGCTTTTAGCAAAATTCCAGCAACATCACGGTGGGGGACACCAGAAATGGGCTTCACACATTGTACCCATGTGGGGATTCGAACCCGGGTCTTCGGCGTGACGCTTTAACCACTAGGCTACCCCACCGCCCCTCTAAAAAGAAGAGAAAGTTGTATGACTGGAAAATATCATGAGCATGTGTTTAGGAAGTACTATCAAATAGTGATGATAAATGTGTGCATATCCTGGTGGAACCATCATAAACACATGCAATGCAAGTCAATTATTCATCTGACAAAACAATAGGGAACTGCATCAGATGTTTTTGTCACATCATACAAACAGTACTACAAAAGATTCTTTCATCATGTGCATCACATCCATCGTCACAAATTGCTTAACGTTACTTGTGTTAAGAGTTAGTGGTTAAAGGATCTAAAAATGGAGAACAAGAGAAATTCATGTAGAGCATATATGCTTTACTTAAGAAATGAAATATATGAAATTTCTCTATGAAAATCTTTGAAAATCTGTTAAAATGATAGGTGTCCATTCAGGAGTGAAAACTTGCCTCATAAGTTTGATGGAGAAATAGGCAAAAGCTTATGAACGGATTGTTTCTAGTCAAGTGTGGGAACGATTTCAGTTCTACATCACATTTGTTGATAACCTGAGACCTAAAAGTAACTTTTGTTCAAACTCACCAGTAAAGTCTCTGGCCTTCAGATTGGTAGCGAGTTCTTCACTGTTCAGCTTCCTTGTCACAAAGATCAACACAGAGCCCGCTGAATAAATATATCAAGTTTGTTATCACAAACATAATTTCCTTTAGATGTTTAAGTAATATATACACAACACACAATTGATACACAATGGAGTGTCGTCACCTTGACAGCTATGGAAACTTGCTGCTGTAATTGACCTGCCCTGATATATTTGATATCAAGTTAAGATTCTCTGCAGTGTCACTGATGACTGTCAGTGACGTATCTTGGATTGTCAGAGTTAGAGTCAACAAAGCTTTCACTGCACATATGTTACACGGATGACCTTTGGATCTGCTTCAGGCCAATGTCATTAAAATCAAATGTTTTTGTGTCTGCATGAAGATTTGAAAACTCTCCATTAAACAACACTCTTGTTACAAGTGAACAAAGCTATTAGTGAGTATCGTTTGGAGAACCATTTACAGGCAGTTCCAAATGGAGGTGAGGTGAGGTGAAATTGGGTTTTACGTCGTGCTTGAGAATATTTCGCTAATATGACGACGTGCATGCGTATGTATGTGTATGTGCGGCTGCTTGTACTAGCCCAGACTTAAGCTGGTTTTATAGTGCTAGCCCACTGAGATACCATGCCGCAGTGAAGCATGAATACCCCACTCAGACACATTATACTGACTCTGAGCCGACCAGTCCTTGTTGTACCCATTAAAGGTCACATAAACCCTAGGGGGTAAAAATACATCAATCACTAACTGGCATCGTTATAAATGAAACCCCGTCATTAAAACTACTCATTTCGACCTTTAATTGACTTAAATCGACCTTTTTGACAACAGTGCACAATTCTCACCCGCGAACGAAATTTCAACCAATCAGAGCGGCGCGCGTCTGTGACGTCATATGAGGAATAGCTTTGAGGGCCGATGCAGAATTCATCTACATTTTAGGGGTTAAATTATCTTGTTTACAGGCTTGTATAAACCTGAAATCGTGACAATTGTTGTGGAAAATAAAAGCTATATGTTCTCACAATCTACTGTCATTTAATTTTGTCTCCTGCTTTGCCTAGTTTCTGAGTTACAACTTGTTTTCATAGACGATTCTGTCAAAATCGATTGGTGTCGTTAGGCCCTATTTGTATAATGACTGATCCAAATCGATCGCATTTCTGTGTTTTTTTACCTCGATATTTAATCATGTCATGTAAAAATCTGTTTGTATTCTCAAAACAGTGTCGGCCCATAAGTTTTCACATGCAATACAGCAATTAATACTCCCTTGTTGTAACCCGTGTTAGGTGGTATAAACCTACACATGTTATTTGTCATCATTCACTTGATGGTCAGTTAATGAATTTATAACAGGTATAATTAGTGGTAACACACTTAGATTACCGACAAAGGTTCCCATTTGGCATTTCTTGTGTCTGGAGTAAATATTCAACATTATAAACATCGATCAAAGGATTAACCGATAACACGCTGATTGATTAATTACTTTATCTTACACAGCGGAATTGTCAAAGGGTAGTGTTTATGTATGTAGATTTACTAATCTATACTGAATACACACTGTCGTTCGTGTGGTGTCTGCGTAAAACAACGTCCTTCTTTCAAAGGATTGACCGGCAATACATTGATTGATTGCCCATTATTGGCTAACTAAATTACTGTTTTTAAAGAAAGGCGGACATTATGCAATTAGTTGCCAGGTGTGCTATCTTGGGTGACCAATGAGACTATACACCAATACCTAAAAAGATTTATCACTTTTTTCGTATATTAAACTGTTAAAAGACACATCATTTGGAACAGTTTTGTGGATATTGATGGATACATTCCTCGAACAAG